GACCCAGGAGCCACGGGAGGGCAGCGGGGACACCTACCTCTCAAATATCATTGAGGTTTCATTTCTTTCCTCATGTTTAGAAAAGAACTAGTTATGAGTAGAAGCTTTTCCCAAACCTCCCACAGCTACCGTGTGCCTCCTGCTGGCAAGGTGACTCCCAAAGCCACGGAGAGCTGAGGAGCTCCTGCCAGAATATACCAGAACAGAGGCTCTCACATGCTTCAGGGCCATTGCGTGAAAGAGGCCGTCTGAAGTCATGGTCACAACCGGGCTCCCCGGAGACTGAGCAGGTGGTCAGCTCAGGGGATCATGCGCTGCCTGGTGAACCAGAACCAATCAGCAGGCTGCTCGTGTACAGATTTCTGGCCCGAGGCTCGAGTTCCCAGTTCCACAGGTGTGGGGTGGGACCCAAGAATTTCCTGTAGATTCTAGGTGACGTGGATGCTGCTGACCTGGGGGCCACACTGTGAGAGCTACTGCCATGGACATCTAGGACAGGACACGCCCATGAACCACAGGAAGAAGGACCAGCCAGAGCCGGGGACAGAACCCCCAGGTGATGGAAGGCAAGATGGGACCCTGCTGTAAATGGGGCACGCGCCACTGTCAGTGCCACAGAGAAGACAGGTAGGTGCTGCATCTGGAAACCAGGACGTGATGTGGCCACAATGTCCCTCAGCACAACTGCCACAAACCCAATGGCCGTGGGCTGACAATGAGCTTTCCTGCTTCTCTTTGAAAGCATTAGACTCATCCTTCAACTGATAAATGGACAGACAAGCATGGTCTTCCCGTGGTCTGTGGGATATTATTTGGCCATAAAAAGGAACAAAGGACTGACCCATGCTACAGCGTCCAAGGACCGACCTTGAAAACATGATGCTCAGTGAGAAAAGGCAGACCCAAGGGATGACATATTGTAGGATTCCATTTACAGGATATGAGTAAAGTAGGAAGTCCACAGAGAGAGAACGTGGATTCGTGGCGGCTGGGGGCTGGCAGGGAGGGGCAACAGGGAAAGGGCTTTCCTCTGGGACACTGGAACCAGAAAGCGGCGGTGGCGGCCCCAGCAGGTCGCATTCAATAGTCTGGACATTAAGTCTGTTGTGATCACTCGGCCTCTAGACCGCGGCCTGCCCCTCCAGTGTCATCACCTGATCTTCTTCTGCATGCACTGGTCACTCCTGCTGCCAAATCACTGGCAGTTCCCGAAACACCCCTCCCTGCTTGGACCATAGGGCTCCCTGCATGTCCCATTCACCCTCCCAGGCTTTAGCGTCCGCATGTGCCAGGCGACCCTCCCTCCCAGCCCCCAGGTCACTCGAAGTGCTCTGCTCCCTCTCGGTAATTGATTCCCCCGTTTCTCAGTGATTGATTCTTGACCAAGCTCCTGGAAGGAGAATCTACCTCCATTCATTTTTCAGTGTCTGGCGTTAGGCACGTAGTTGTATCCAGTAACTGGTGTCACTCATGCTGTCAATGTAGAAACTTAAAAAAACAAAAACAAAACGAAAAAAAACACGTTTCCCCAACTTCTCGTGTAGCTTTTCTTTGATTTTACATGAACTTTGTCAGGGGTGCTATTTGTGCCATCAGAAGAATGAGGGGGTTTGCCTGCACCTTGCTGTATCACACCTTCTCAGATCTTCAGAAACCACCCATTTCCATGCACTGCACACACCAAGATGCTCCGGTGATACTTCACACAAGCACTGTGTCCTTAGAAGTCCCAAGGGGTGTCAGCGCCTGGAGAAGGTAAACACGGAGGGGACACCGGCAGCCTGTATTCTCGGCATGGCTGTCCCCGGCCGCCACGGGAAGCTGTAGACATTTCCTGTTTTCTTGCTCCGTCTGCTGGTCAGAGCACAGAACATCTTTCCCACCATCATCTTCCATCCTTTGTGGAGGAGTTCATGTTTGTCTTTGTATTTCCAACGGGGGGTGCCTTTTGCTTTTTAAAAAGTGAAAAGAGAAGCTGCCCCCCCCCCCCAAACTACTGGCGTCAAGTGCTGCGGCTTTTTGAGTCAATTCCTTAAGCATGCGTGTTGTCAGGCTCACGCGTCCTGCCTTAGACATTTCAAACCTCTCTCAGCTTACGAATAACCTGGCGATTCCATAAAGGAATCCCTTGCTCCCTCCCAAATCTACTGAATCCAGATTACCCGGGAATGTGGGTTTTTACAATGCAGCAGGTTCGGAATACAATGAAACCCAGCCTGTTCCTTCCGTCCCACAGAGGAGACCATAGATTCGGGGAGGTGGTTTGGGAAAACCCCAAGGCCTCTCAACACACGCTGAAGTATTAATAACAAAATTCGGTGTTCGCTGCATACAGGCAGCCCTGAGCTGAGCCCCTCTAGGTAACCGTACTGCCGCAGCCCCTACGCTCCACCGTCAAGAAACTGTTGGATTATTACTGGGCTTAACCAGTTACATCAGGAGTCCCGTGTCCCGGCCCGACACATAATTCTGTCCTACTGGACAACATTTACAGTAGTTCTAATCGTGTTGGGTTGGCCCGAGGAGGAAACAATTCCCACCGAAGGCCTCGGAGCCTCGGGTCAACGTGGGCCCGGAGCGGCGCCAGCATCACCGGCAGCTTGTCCGCACGCGGAGCGCAGCCGCCCCAGCAGCTGAACGCGCAGGATCCGAATCCCCGGGGGAGGGGCCAGCCGGCCGAGTGTCACCCCGGCCCGCCAGCCCGCGGTTACCGTCCCGCCCGCCTGCGGCCGCGGCTCCTCTGGCCCCGCCCCCCGCCGCCTCCGGCCGCAAACCGCCGGGCGCGTGTCAGCCAATCAGGGCGCAGCGCGCGCACGTCCTCGCCACGCCGTTAGCCGGTGTCACGTGCAGTCGACTTCACCGCCAGGCGGAAGTGTCCATCCGCCCAGAAAAGGAACGCCGCGCCCCTTTGGCGGGCGTCCACGTCTCGCAGCCGCCTACAGGCGGGAGCCCCGGCTGGTGGCCACGGTGAGCGGCCGGGCTTCGCGGGGCGAGGGCGCCAGGGCACTGGGGTGGGCCTCAGGGCCCGAAGTCCCGGCGCGGAGGGATCCTGCGTGCGGGGACGGTTGGCGCGGTTCGCGGAGCGGAGCCGCGGAGGCAGAGGCTGAGGTAAGGTGAGGGGCTGGGGTCGCGGGGCCGCACGGTGTGTGCTGACCTGCAGCGGCGGCCTCGGGGCCTGGTGAGGGTACCGTGGTGCCGATGCTGGGGAAGGAGGGGGCCTCGCCGGCGGGGAGGGACCGCCCAGGGGCGGGGAATGCTGCGGAGGGGGGTAGGGGACGTATGCGGACATGGCTTGGGACTGGGGGCCACTTCCAAGGTCGGGGGGGCATTCCTGGACACTGACCAGGGCTGGGGGGGGACGCTGTCTGGGTCAGGGGGCATTCTGGGGCACTCCCGGGGTCAGCGAAGGACATCCGTGGACACTGCCCGGGTTGGGGGAGCCCTGTGTGGTTTGGGGGGCATTCCTAGACACCCCCGGGTTGAAGGGGCACCGTCGGGGCGGGGAGGGCATTCCCCGGGTACCGCCCAGGGTCAGGAGAGGCGCGCTGTCCAGGTGGGGGGACCTCGGGGGACCTCGGTAGGGGCTTGGGCCTCCGGGCTCAGTCCGCAGGGGCCTCGTAGGCTCTGGCTCCCTGCACGGACGGCGGTTTGCCGCGGGCGTCGCGTCCGGCTGGGGTGAGGCTTCGAAGCGCCGTCTCCGGGTCCTACTTGAAGGTGGCCGTTGTCTTCCTGTCCGGGGTGTCCTGAGGTCGGGAGGACCATGGCCGTACCGGCCCGCCCAGCACGGGGCCTGCGCGCCCCACCTGTGTGTGGTTACGTGGGTGTCGTGAGTGACGGTGAGAATCACCTGGAGGCCCGAAGGGAGCTGTGGACCCGTGGGTCTGGGAGCTTGGTTGGCGTTTCCCACGAGTTCTAGGCGTTTCCAGGAGAGCCCACGTTTTGGGAAGTGCGCCCTGAAAGGGTTTGCTTTTGGAGGCGGCGGCTCGGCCTTGTCTAGGCTTAAACCCCACGCTGGTGCCTGGCACGCGGCTGGGTGCGCAGGACCCACGGGGGACAGGCCGCGCCGGCTGTGCGGGAGGAGGGAAGGAGGCGCGGGGCCGTCCACGAGCGGCTGTACTGCCAGCCGGTGGCACCCAGCCGGGTGGCACCCAGCCGGGTGGCAGAGCAGGACACCCCGTAGGACACGGTGAATCGCGGAGTTTCCCGGGCTGCGTGTGGGGAAGTCTCGTTCTGTCCCCCTTCAGTAAGAGCCCCGAGCACGTTCCCAGGTGGGCTCGCGCGTGAGTTAGGTGCGCTCGGCCATCAGGGGCAGTAGAAGTGCACGGTCCTTGCCAGTGGCATTAAACACGAGTTCTGATATGTGGGCCCCTTGCAGGCTGTGTTCCGTAACCAACCCTGGAAATTGCTGCGATAGGATCAGATTGGGAAGGTTTCACTGTTCGGTGGGTTTGTGGATTTGCTTCTGATCCGTGGAATGTGATAGGAAGTCGGGTCTTACACCGCTGCGGACGTCGTTAGGTTTGTGTTTCTGGGAATGCTCTCAGAGCAAGGACTTCAGAAGCTGTTAAAACTGAAAAAAAGATGAAAACCTGATGCTCAGGAGAGCGATCTTAAGCATAAATGATGTCACAGCCTGCGCCTCTGTACTTAGAACCTTCCTGGCCCCCTGCGCCCAGCCCCGTAGTCTGCAGGCCCCATCCATTCTGATCTTCGCCTGTGCATTCTGATCTTTGCCTGCCTCGGAGCTCACCAGCCGTCCTTCCTGGGGACGCTGGGGACCCCGGAGTCACCAGGCAGCTCTGGTCCTGCACACAAGCCACACTTGACCCCTCACCCTGTTGGGGAAGATGGGTGCCGTCCACCTTCCAGTTCGAATCATCTTCATCCCAGTGTAAATGTTAGCTTCGTCGGAGGCGGGTCCTGTGAGAACGTGCTGTTTATTGCCTGTGTTAAACTTTTAAAAATTTGTAGCTGCAATTTTACGTGCCTTTTTCCATTAGAGCTAATACTTGTTGAATGCTGCCGGGTACCAAGGACGTCACGTGTGTTCTCACTTGCACCACACACGGCCTGTGTGGTAGGTCATCAGAGTTCCATATTACAGGTGAAGAGAGGAGTCAAGGTCATGTGATGTGCTCAAGGTCACTTCCGTGAAGGAGTAGGGTTCAGGCAGGCCATCTCTGAGGTCTACACCGTGAATAACCTGATGATACTGCTTTCTACTCTGGTGGGGGCGATGGGTGGGTAAACTTTTTACGTGGTCATGTCTCATGCCCAGCACCCATCCTGGCCCCCAGGAGCTTACTACCATGGTGCTATTGAAGAAATGGAAAGAACTGTTGGGTCAGAGGTAGCAGGAGCAATAAAGGAGTAGTTTAGAGATAAATTACTCCGTCTTTTCTCCTTAGAGACAAAGTGGGTGGCCGTGCCACTCACCGAGAATGAAATTCTGGAGCCCGAGTGATGTGCTGTAAAAGACACTAGTTTGAGTGTGTTTACGTGAAGCCGTAGGGGAAATCCCGGAGGCTGTGCTGTATATGTGTGCAAATTCTGTAAAGAGCCTGCCGGTGCCAACAGTGCCTGCTGTCCTAGATATGTGTCCACATGTGGAAGAGCTAGTCCCCAAACTCAGACGTCTCAACAGTTTCTCCGTGCGTCATATAAAACAGTAATTCAGGGGCACCTGGGTGGCTCGGTCAGTTATGCGTCCGACTTCGGCTCAGGTCATGATCTCGCGGTTCCTGGGTTCAAGCCCCATGTTGGGCTCTATGCTGACAGCCTGGAGCCTGCTTTGGATCCTGTGTCTCCCTCTTTTTCCTTTTCTTTCTCTGCTTCTCCCCCACTTGCACTCTCTCTCCCTCTCAAAATAAGTAAATAAACTTTAAACATTTCTAAAAGACAGTAATGCAACAAAAAATGAAATCATGTATTAAAACAAGTCTTCCACTTTGGTGCCCCCCCCCCCCCCGAGCATGGTCTACGGTCAGCGTTTGAGTTCACTAGAGGAGAAGTTAGAAAAATATGTGATCATTCAGGAGTTTGTTTTAGAGTCTTGAAGTTTAAAGGTCACGTTTTAGAAGCAGTCAGATTGTGCACGCTGAGTGTCATGTTTGTGATTATTTCCTCTCAGGGAAGAGAAATGACTGGGCGGGCCAGAGCAAGAGCGAGAGGAAGGGCTCGTGGCCAGGAGACGGCGCAGCACGTGGGGGCCACTGCCGTGAGTGCTTTACCGTTTTCTAAGTGCAGGAAAGACCTGTGGGAAACAAACTGGTTAAATCTTTTAAAAAAAATTTTTTTAACGTTTATTTTTGATAGAGCACAAGTGGGGGAGGGGCAGAGAGAGGGGGAGACACAGAATCTGAAGCAGCTCCAAGCTCTGAGCTGTCAGCACAGAGTCCAACGTGGGGCTCCAATCCCACGAACCATAATGTGACCTGAGCCGAAGTTGGACGCTTAACCGACTGAGCCCCCCAGGTGCCCCAAATCTGTGAAATCTTTATGAGCTTAGGCTATTGAAAAAAGTTTAAAAAACTGCCCTGCGAAGGACATGAGAGCAGACCAAAGATGATCATGCTCTGTTTCCTGAGGGTCTTAAGAGTTAGTTCTTGAGTTAGTGAGCCATTTTTGAAGAAACTCCTTTACAGGAACACTGTGTTTGATTTCTAATTTAGATCACTTTTGTTTGAACATCTTAGTCTTGTTTAAGACCGTATCCTCTGTGATCTTTGACGTGAAAAGCATGCTGTTTATTTGTGTGTCACTCTAGAGTCAGCCCCCTGGCTTCGTCCCGCCTCGGCTTCAGCAGCCGGCAGCAGAGGGGGAATTAGTTGGCCGTGGACGACAGAGAGGAGCAGGCGGAGCGCCAGCCAAGTCACAAGGTGAAGGGAGGGTAAGAGGGCTTTGTGCTCGTGCGGTAGACCTGGAGCGGTGACCAGTGTATGGACTCCTCACAAATAAAAGGGCTCCCGGGCACAGTGCTTTCAACTCCAAGTATAACAGGCACACTCAGACTGTGTCGGCCACCAGGGGGTTTCTCTCCTTGGAAGTGAAAGAGCATGTCCTTGCCAGGGCCCCATATTGGCTCTTACAGAGTAATTCTGAACTAATCATACATTTGCTTCTTCGTTAATAAGCTATTTTAGAACATTCTTTTGGCATCTTTAGTGATTTCATCCAGGGCTGGACCACCTTTAACATTTCTAAGCGTTTTATAATACACCGTGTCTTACGTGGTGTATTGCCCTACCCCGTTTCTCGGGTACAAAAACTCGAGGCCAAAATTAGGACAACTGGTGAGATCAGAACACCAGTTCTGATTCCAAAAATTCTGTCTTTTCAGTACTTTGTTACAAACATGAATTTGGATACTTGATGTAATAAGATTCTTCAACAGTTAAGTTTGGTTTCAGTGCAGGAAAAACTCCCCTGTACATGCGGGGACCTGAGGTAATGACGCTGGCTCTCCCGCGGGTGGGCACGGGGTGCTTACGGGTGCTCCGTAAGCAGTGTGGGGACAGCTGGTGACGAGGCGAAGCTTGTCCCGCCTCTCCTCCGTGGTTACGTCCCCGCACACTCCAGAGGGCTGGTCCTGACCAGTGAGGTCCGGGAACGGTAGAGGAGCCCCCGGGTGAGTCTGTGGTGTCTGAGCCACGGCAACCGCGCCGTGACGGCCACGGTCTGTGTCAGCAGGCAGCCTGGAGACCCCCGGAAGTGCTGGTGGGGCTGCTGCTCTGGCGCACGCGGCACTCGTCTAAACCCCGATGTTTCACAGGCTGCTGGGAAAGCGGGCAAAGGAAAGGGCAGTGCATTGAAAAATACCAAGACTAATGAAAACTCTAAGCCTTTTAAAGAAATTTAAACCAAGTGAACATTTTTTTACCTGTTTGTTCTCCCATCTTTTTTTTTTTTTTTTTTTTTTGGTGCCAATGTTGGCACCGTCCTCCGCATGGCGTGGTGCAGTTGTGCGGACTTGTGTAACAGGTAGCAGCCATGAGGGTGCCCTTTCATGAGCACGTCCCCTCCTGGGCGTGTACCCAACAGACTGGGGCAGGGACAGCATGAGCGTGTAAGGGCCGTCCCATGCCCTGCCCCCCACTGGGAAGGCCTGCCTGGAGGAGTCAGGTAGCACCTCTGTACTTTAACAACAGAGCACCGTTTCTCCCCACTGAGGGACGTAGGCCCCACCTGGGCTACAGAGATGAGATCATGTGGTAAGGCAGCATTACCTTCATATTTTTAGTGAATACGTGTGTTTATGTGTATTTTTTCAGGAAAGTTTGAGGGAAGACATCAGTTAATAGTGCTACATTTGAAGGGCACCTGGGGGGCTCAGTCGGTTGAGTGTCTGACTTCAGCTCAGGTCATGATCTCACAGTTCGTGAGTTTGAGCCCCACTTCAGGCTCTGTGCTGACAGCTAGGAGCCTGGAGCTGCTTTAGATTCTGTGTCTCCCTCTCTCTCTTTCCTGCTCCCCCTCTGTCTGTCTCTGTCTCTCTCAGAAATAAGTAAACATTTAAAAAAATTTTTTTGTAAATAGTGCTACATTTGAAGAGTCGGTGAGAAGACTGGAAGGGTCTTTTGTCTCCGATGACCTGTTACTATTCTGAGAGGCAGTGTTATATTTCCTAAGCTGCTTGATGAGAATTCATTTAAGGCATTAATCTCTCTAAACCTATAGGATTTGACCCACTTTCTCCTCTAATTTTGATACCTATATTCTTTTGAAATTCAACCTATAGCTAGATTTGCTGAATTTGTTTTAAAACATTTCCCTATTATTGCAGCCTTAAAATGCAGATAAGATTGTGAGAAATACTTCAATCTAATTTCTTAAAACATGCTCTATGTTGATTGTTATTAATTATGTAACACTTATGCCTGAATTTAAATTCTGTGAAATTCCATTTCCCATCTGTAGAAAGGTAGCATCTAACCCTAAGGACCCTTGTGAGGATAACATAATACTTGGAATAACAAATGATGTCATTTCACTGCTTTTGTGAGGATTGTATCTGAGAAGTTCCTGTCCCAAATGTTCACATGTTTACTAGGTTTTAGAAATTGAAGTGACAAGTTAGATCTATTGTTAATGAAACCTTGTTCTTGACTTTTATTCTGAAGGGCTCTGAAATAGAAGAGTAGCAAGATCTGATGTGTATTTTAGTCATTCCAGCAGCTGCACGGAAGGGGAAATTCTAGGCACACCTCAGAGATGCTGCAGGTTGGGTTCCAGACACTGCAATAACGCAGATAGAACCAAGCAAGTCAGGTGGATCGTGGGGTGTGCCGGTGTGTATGGAAGTTCCGTGCGCACTGCTGTGGTCTGTCACGTGTGCAACAGCATCGTGTCCAGCGTACACACCTAATTCAAAAATACTGCTAAAGAGTGCCAACCATCATTTAAGTTTTCAGCAAGTTTTAATTACTGATCACAGATCACCATAACAAACACAATAATGAAAAAGTTTGAAATGGTGTGAGAATTACTGAAATGTGACACAGAAGTGAAGTGAGCAAATGTTGGAAAAATGATACCAGTAGACTTGTATAATGTAGGGTTGCCACAAGCCTTCAGTTGTAAAAAAAAAAAAAAAAAAAAAAATCTGCAAAGCACAGTAAAATTAGGTGTGTAATTAGCAAGGTTTACAGTTTTTTCATTCTGAAACCTGTTTTCTTCACAGATTGACAGTTGTGCTTTTGCTAAGTAGCATTGCAGTACTGTGTGTAGAGAGGGGAATGGACTTCATCGTTATTTATATTCAGAAACTTGCAGTCTGGTTTTTGTATCCAGAATGGAATTTTAAGACAAATTCAGGTTTTTCAGGAGAAAAAGCCTCTATGACCTGTCATTGTTACTAGGTTGGACTCCATATGCCTGACCTGTGTTAGTATGTAGTTCATCACACACAGCCAAGGATATTTTCTTTAAATTGAAAGTTTTGGGGATAAAAAGTTCACCAAAGAAGACAAAAAGTTACATATTTAAAGGATTTTTTTCTTTTAAAGTTTATTGAGACAGAGCGTGTGCACATGCATGTGAGCACATGCAAACAGGGAAGAGGCAGAGAGAGAGAGAATCCCAAACAGGCTCCACACTGTCAGCAGGGAGCCTGACACAGGGCTCATTCCCACCAACTGAGATCACGACCTGAGCTGAAATCAAAAGCTGGGATGCTCAACTGACTAAGCCACTCAGGTGCCCCTGAATATTATGAGGTATAAGAACCAACATATTTAGCAACACCTTTAAAGAGTTTTATAAATTGTGTTCTCCTCTAAAACATGAGCTGCCCGTAACATTCATCACTTTTCCGGTAAAGAAGTTGAAGCTGACATTAGAATAACCTGTTTCCAAGGTGTATCAGGAACTGATACTTTGCTCAAGCCACTGTTCCTCTCTAACAAAAAACCCAGGAGTTGGCAATTGGGTTCTAGATCTGGAATTTGCCACCAGAAGAAAACTGGTCTCTTCAGTTGTTTTGTTCTTTTGTCCTGACTTCTTGTCATTACCACATACATTTGGTGATCACGACCAGATTCCAGGTAAGATTGGCAGCCAAGGGGCACAGAGAACATAAACACCGGCCACTGGCTCTCCTCCCCAGGTGCTTTCCGAGAAGTTTGATCCAGGCATTTCTGCTTAAGTCTCTTCGCCCATCCTTACTGCAGGGAAGGCGGAATTCTTGTATTTTAGGTACATTATTACCTAAATAAGCTTTGTTAAAAAAGAAGACTGAGCAGTTGGGAAGGTGGAATCGCTAGTACATGGGGTATCACTTCCATTAGCTGTAAGCTAGGATTTTAACACTTGACCACAAGGCCCATGTTCATTCTTTGGCCCACGTCATACTGTTGACGTGAGCTATTTCCATATGTTGTACAGATTGAAAGTTTTAATAATTTTGCAGCGAAGCATGAACCTGTCCCAAAAGGATATTTGCATGATGGCGGTGGGACATACCCCATGTGGTCCCATCTGTTCTGCGTGTTAAAGGAATTTGTGAGGAAGTTACATTTTAGACTTAAATTTTCTAATTCAGGTTACACGTTGAAACCTAGAAACCACTAATTCCTGTAGCTATAATTTCATCATAAGGCTGTGAGAGACACTGATAGAAGGTTCTTAGGCTGTTCAGAACTTGGAGTACAGAAAAATAACTTCCCAGGCAACAGAGTTGCTCCTGAGTTCTTGAATCATAGTCCAGTTCTCTTCATCTTTTAATGGTACATCTTATGGGGGAGCAGCTGAGCTTGACTAGGGCAGTGGCAAGAAAGGCTTTACAGAAGAAATCCTCGTTAGGATGTTCTGATGGCCAGCAGACACCTAAGACATTCTGACGGAATCCATATACATTATCCGTGGCACCTCGGGAGCTTTCAGGTTTCATATGGTATTACTTGGGGACTTAGTACTGTTATTCCTTATATCATGTTTCATGTTACCACATATATTAATATCTTTCTTTTTTTTTTTTTTTAAGAGCTCCAGATATCTGCTGGGTTTCAGGAATTATCATTAGCAGAGAGAGGAGGTCGTCGTAGAGACTTTCATGATCTCGGTGTTAACACAAGACAGAACCTAGACCATGTTAGAGAATCAAAAACAGGTAGGGTGATTATGGAGAATGCAGTTTTCACGAGATTACTTTTCAAGTACGGAGGACGCTGAATTGACGCGCCACACCTCGAGCCTGTGTCTGTGTGACACAGTCCTGGGGGGTGGGCACATGTGCTTAGGGTACTGCATGGCTTCTCCACCTCCCCCCTCTCTGCTTCGACGAAATCGGTCATAGTGGTCTTCAGCTGCCCTGCAGTGTGGCATGTTAAGTGGGTGGTGGTGTTCTTGTATAAAGGGTTTTGCCGTAGATTTGGTTGGTCCTGTTGTAAATTACTTAGTCTGAGGGGAATTTATTCCTAAATGTATGCTTTTAGGAACTTCACAGGATAGTGGTCCTCAAAGTCAGATGTGTGAGACCTTTAGTGTCCTGTACTATTCCCAACCTTTTGGTTACAGAGCTGCATCTGCTTCCCCCAGTAGGAAGGAGTTGGGGGAAGAAAATCCTGTTCTGTTAATCACACGTGACTGACTTTCACAGGGTCTTCAGGCATCATAGTAAGGCTGAGCACGAACCATTTTCGACTGACGTCCCGTCCCCAGTGGGCCTTGTACCAGTACCACATTGACTATAACCCGCTGATGGAGGCCAGGAGACTCCGCTCAGCTCTTCTGTTTCAGCATGAAGATTTAATTGGAAGGTGTCATGCTTTTGATGGAACAATATTATTTTTACCTAAAAGACTACAGCACAAGGTTATTTTAAAATGTCGGGTTGGGAAGAGGGTGATGAAGGGTCTCCACTCTGAAATAAAACTGCCACAGGCTCGGGGAGCTTTTAGAGGAGCTCTGGGGCCTTCGGTCTCCTATTGCACGTCATAAACCCACAGGGGTGGTCCTGGCCCTTGTTTCATTTTCAAATCCACCTGAGTAACTGCATATAGTTACATTTATACATTTTTTAAACAGTTTTGTTTTTGAGAGACGGAGTATAAGCAGGGGAGGGGCCAGAGACACAGAAACAAAGAAACCACATCAGGCTCCAGGCCTGAGCTGTGCGCACAGAGCCCCAGTGCGGCTCAGACTCAAACGGCAAGATCGTGACCTGAGCCGACAGTGGACGCTTAACCGGCTGAGCCACCCAGGCGCCCCACAATTGAATTTATAACACAGCCCATAACCACTCTCTTCTCCTAGCCAGACCCTTCCTATTTTTTTTTTAATTTAAAACTTTACTTTCATTATTGCCTTATTAGCAGGAATTAAGTGATTGAGCTTATTTGTTTTAACAACTGAAAGTGTGGTTTTCCACTGCTCTGCTTCAGGTTACCGAGGTGTTTAGTCAGACCCGAAATGGAGAGCATGTGAGGATAACGATCACCCTAACGAATGAGCTCCCACCTACATCACCAACTTGTTTGCAGTTCTATAATATTATTTTCAGGAGGTATATGAGTATTTCCTTAAGCCTTTACTAAGAAGAATTGAAAACCTAGGGAAAAGTTGAAAAACCAGTGAGGTGAGGACCTGCGTGTTAGAGATACTTGTCAGTATTCACTTCTCTGTTTTGACCTTTCCATTTCTAGGCTCTTGAAGATCATGAATTTACAACAAATTGGACGGAATTATTATAACCCAAGTGACCCAATTGATATTCCAAATCATAGGTTTGTATAAGGCAGAAGCTTTCTATTCCTTGGGCTTAATCACAGACTTGGAAAGTGGTGCTCTGATTTGAAGCGATCAGATTGACTATGGTGGCTGTTAGGGGTGCCCATCGTGTTACGTGAAGTTTAACTTGGTCTGAATAATAAAGCACCCTTCCAGAACACTTGGCTTTAAACACATCACATGCTAGCCATCTGTCACTGGGGAGGCGTAAAGAGCTGTCCAGCACTTTGTGTTTGCTCTCTGGTAACAAAATTTCTGAACTAATGAGGTTGCTTCAGAAGTTCCTATGTATAGTGCATCCAGGTGTGGCCCACACGGTTCAGGCTTTTACTGATCACAGGTACTCTCAGTTAGATTGGCAGCTCTTTCAGGCCTTAGACCAACGTAAGAAATAGTTTAATAAAGTTAGTGTATTCAAAATGGAACTTAAATTATTATGTTATAAAATAACATTCATTGTTGAGGACCTTGAGAAGATGGGTTTTTATATGGAACCATGTGAAACCTAGAAATAACTAAGTTTACTCGTTTCAGAAACTTTTGTACCTTAGACCCAGTTAATACAGGAGAAAAACAAAACGTGATACCTGCAGGCTGTGTCTGGGCATTAGAGGTTACTTCATCACTTTCCCTCTGCCTCACAGGTTGGTGATTTGGCCTGGCTTCACCACCTCTATTCTTCAGTATGAAAATAACATCATGCTCTGCACTGACGTCAGTCATAAAGTCCTTCGGAGTGAGACCGTGTTAGATTTCATGTTCAACCTCTACCATCAGACAGAAGAACATAAATTTCAAGAACAAGTTTCTAAAGAACTGATAGGTTTAATTGTTCTTACCAAGTAAGGCTGCTTTTTTAAAATGCTAAACAGTCATTTTGCAAGTTTTAAGATCTCATGGTTTCCTAGTCCATCATATTGGAAAGTTGGGTTTACGGTTGAGTAGTGGGAATAGCATGAAAATGGAGAGAGGGGTATTTGTCACCTTGCCCAAGACCTGAGTTCTCAGGGAGCACACTCGTCTGCAAAAGACAAGTATCTAGTGATTTTTATCCTTTTAAGTCTTCGTTTTCTAGCAGTAATTTAGTCACTTCCCCACCCATCTAGCATGGTCTTTAAGTTCGTTTTCCCTTTTCTTCCAAGGACATTGTATGTAACTAAGTGATTTGAAATTTTATCTTTTAGAGACTATGTACTATCAATATCTAGTTTCTGTTTAATAATAGTTCTACGTATTCCAATCAGATACCAATAAATCTCAATTGTTTCATAGGTATAACAATAAAACGTACAGAGTAGATGATATTGACTGGGACCAGAATCCAAAGAGCACCTTTAAGAAGGCAGATGGCTCCGAAGTCAGTTTCCTAGAGTACTACAGGAAGGTAAGGGGTGAACATTGACCTAATCTTCTAATGTGCCGTATGTAGGCCTTAGAAGAAATCTGAACTTTCTTCACTAGGATTTTCTATCACTTGTACACATGGAACAAATTGCTTTTAAAACTGTATAGAAAAGTGTTTATTAAGGCAATCATAGCATAGTTAACTTGAGCTTATTATCAACTGAGAAGTGCTTGGTCCTGGTTCCTTTTTCCCAGCAGAATGGAAGATTATATTTGAATCTCAGCATGCGGAGAACAAACAGAGTGATTGATGGGTAGTGAACAGTGGAAGTTCACTGCACTGATCTGTATTCAGCAGTGAGCATTTTTTTAAATGCACCCAGGGGTGGGGTTAAAGATGGCGGAGTCTTTAGCCTTAGCTTGTTCTGCCTGTGGGTTACTCTTAACTTTGGTTTCACCTGTTGACAACCTCAGACCAGCCTGTTTCATCCAGGCTCGGTCAGTGGGTTATGAGATCTTGTAACACTGATTTTATACAGAGTAATCGTTGAAAAAACAGCAGAGGCAAACGGCAAGAAAGGACCACTGCTGACTGGAAGGGAACAGTGTTTACGCAGGAAGGGACACTAGCGTTGCTGTCGGGACGTGAGCAGGTCTCGCCCCTAAATCCTTAGAAGGCTGCGTACGCTCTGTTACAGGTGCCGGAAGAGTGTTTGTACAGTACTTACCAGTTAAAATCTTAAAACTTGTTCTTAAAGTGCTAAGATTTATCTTCTTTTTTTCTACTTTCAGTATATTTCCTTTTTCTAAAAAGCTGGGTAGATGAACTGTTGTATGTTTATATCTTATATCAGAATTGCACATCAGACTGATGATCTCGAAATGTCTTTTTACTGGTTATCTACTATTGCCTGAGCCTCAGCTGCTCTGCTGTGAATGAAAAGATCAGATGATACTCTGGAGTGAAATGATTATCTGTGAAGTTGCATTAAGAGCTGTTCTCATTTTGCGCAAAATGAAAACAGGCCAGGGGCCATCTCAGCTTGATTTCCCTACTGCCCTTTTCAACCTCTTAACTTCATGATGACCCAGCCATCTGTAACCTAGATTCCTTCTGGGTGTCAGAGGCTCCCGTGAGAACTGAGTTAGCATTGTTCTGTGGAATCGGAATCCCTTTCAGGGATGGAAAGAGTTGTGATAAGTCAACAGCAGATACAATGGAGTTCCCGTGGAAAGTTTGGTTTAAACCCAAAGCAAGGTCAGGGGAAAGTCCTCTCTTCTCTGCTTGGTAGTGAGTCTCCCACACCAGCTTATTTTTCTCTGTAAGTGGCCTTCTAAATGTTGACATACTTAGATGTTCTGCCTTGATCCCCTCCCCCCAGTTACTATATTTTTAACTTGTTAGGTGATTTCCAGGCTCGTCTGTCCTCAGACTGAAGGTGTCCTACGTTCACGGTTCTCAGATTCCTAGCTCCAGCCCAGACGTGTCTGACCTTCTTGTTCTCAGTGTTTGCACGTCTTAAAGACATCTTCCACGTGACCAGTGTGGAGCACGTTCTGTCTCACGACTCGGGCCCTGTGCACTGCTCTGGGTCCCTGCAGGGACTGTAACTTCCTCAAGGTTAGGGATTTTGTGGTTTCTGTACCCCCGCTGCTCCCCCCCGCCCCCGACTCGTGCCTGCATAGGCACTAAGGTATTCAAGTGAATGAGCACATGCATAACAGACAGGTAAAACCTCAGACTGGGCTCCTGGGTGGCTCAGTCAGTTCAGCGTCCAACTATGGCTCAGGTCATGATCTCACATCTGTGGGTTCAAGCCCCACGTTGGGCTCTTTGCTGCCAGCCTGGAGCTGCTTCGGATTGTGTGTCTCCATTCTCTCTGTCCCTCCCACACTGGCGCTCGCTTGCTCGCTCTCTCTCTCTCTCTCTCTCTCAAAAATAAACACTAAAAAAAAAAAATTAAAACAATACCACCTCAGACCTGCATACCACTCCCTTACCTTGCAGCGCTCATGGTGACCTCCCTGTTGGAAATGCCTCTGCCTTTCTCCCCCACCAAGGGGCTGCCCTCCCTGTGAAGGCTCCCACACTCTCTCATTCAGCTGGTCTCTCCATCTGCATTTCTCCTGCTTTCTGATTCATTTTCAGACTCCTGCAGTTGTGATGTTATTTTCTACCCAAAGTACGTAAGCAGCTTCCCGCTGTTCCCGTGGCCTGTTGAAGTGCCTTAGTCTGCATCCAGTGAGGCCCTGAGCCCCGCAGCGTAGACCTGCTTGTCCATGCTTACCCGCTCTCCCACGCTGGCTGTCCCCGCTAGCCGTGGGACTGCCTCTGCCACGGCCTGATTCATGTTCTGAGGCTTCAGTCTCCACTCAGGTGATTGCTTCTGGAAGACTCTCCTGTCACCACCAGACCCCACTGGGTGTGTCTGCTAGACACACAGCTAACCAGAACGGGGTAAGAGTGAGATGTCTGAAGGAGTCCAGGCATTCTTAGGACTGCCCAGTAGAGAGGCAGTTTTAATGATAAGCGATGGTTTGGCTGTTCTGTAGTAAAGGTCATATTTAAGGAAGCACAGAGAGAGAAGGGCCTTTGAAAGGGAAGATCATGGTCAGTTTTTAAAAGAAAAGGCTTGACAGTAACATTAAATTGAAGTGTACGGTTTTTTTTAGATGTAGGGGAAGATGTTAAAAGAATGACGGGCTTTTATTTGAGCCCTAAGAATATAGAAGGGGGATCACAAAGTTCTGTACTAAGGAGCCATGTGTTCAGGGCCCATTGGTGACGTAGGGACACACCCAGCTCCACTCCCACACCCCCCATGTGTGCACCTACGTAACAAATAAGTGAGGGAATGGGGGGGGAGCTGTGAGCAGGTGTGCAGGATGCCAGGGAAGGGGGGGGCTCAGTCAGGCAAGCATCTCTTGGCTTCAACTCAGGTCATGATCTCATGATTTGTGGGTGGGGTCAAGCCCCACATCAGGTTCTGCATGGACAGCCCAGAGGCTGCTTGAAATTCTCTTTCTTCCTTGCTCTCTGCCTCTCCCCCACTCCTGTATGTGCTCTCTCTAAATAAACTTAAAAAATGTGTGGTAAAATGTAGTGTAGGTACACGGAGCAGAGCTTAGATAAGAGCATTGAAATTTTCTTACCTGAAATAGGAAACTTAACATTTTTCCTAAGTGGGTGGTAAAGAGTTCAGTATAGGACAAAGTCAAGAAGAGACTGGGATTCGAGGTCTTAATTAAGGTCATGAATTAAGACATGAGGGCATGTGGCCAGGATCTCGTCAGGGAATGGGAACAAGGAACAGGAAGCAGTTCTTACTCTGTTGGTAAGAGACAGGCGTGAATGGAATGGCCGTGATAATGAAACTCATGTCCTGTGTGCTGAGTGGAGAGGTGCGTTTCTCTTCAAAAGAGCCAAATGAACCAGGATGTCAAAAGGTGTCAGGAGAGGGTGCAAGAGACGCTGGGAAAGAGGGTCTCCGGAACACAGGGCTGGGAACTCCAGGGGAGGGAAGGCGAGGGCAGCCCGTGCTCCCGAGGCTGCAGCGCTGAGTGCGAGGCCCGCAGGCAGCTCACGCATCTGTCAGCTCCTGAGAGTCAGCAGTGGTGTCTTTTCACGTGTTGTAAAAACGTGGGGATTGATGTGGGGAGTCTTAAGACTCCTTACTGATGTGAGGGGCACCTGGGTGGCTTAGTCGGTTGAGCGTCCGACTTTCGCTTAGGTCATGATCTGGCGGTTCGTGGGTTCGAGCCCCGCGTCGGGCTCTGTGCTGACTGCCAGCTCAGAGCCTGGAGCCTGTTTCAGTCTGTGACTCCCTCTCTCTCTGACCCTCCCCTGCTCACGCTGTCTCTCTCTCTCTCTCCTAGAAATAAATAAAACATTTAAAAAAAAAAAAAAAGACTCCTTACTGATGTGAGATTCAACTTGTACCAAGTGTCATGTCAACATTTGGTAAAAACGGTTCCTCATTAACAATGTTCTCTGGCGTGCAAACCTCTTCCTTCCCTCGTTTATTGTTCTAGCAAGACTTGCTTCCTACGCACTTCTCACCGGAGTAGGAGCAGTTTTGGAGGAGTTCTGTTGTGAGGACCCAGAGCTCCACAGACTACTGTTTGTACACTAAGAAATCACAAAATGAAGTGAACTGTGACCAAAATTTAGAGTTTAGAGAGTTTAGATAGTCCAGGATAGTGAGGCTCTAAGTTTTTTGGAAGAAAGATGAGGCACTCGCTAACACGTAAGTCACAACTTGTTTTAGTAGGGTTAAAAATGCACTTTGTGGGGCGCCTGGGGGGCCCAGTCACTTGGGCGTCTGACATCGGCTCAGGTCATGGTCTCACAGCTCGTGGGTTCGAGCCCTGTATAGGGCTCTGTGCTGACAGCCTAGAGCCTGAAACCTGCTTCGGATTCTGTGTTTCCCTCCCTCTCTCTCTGCCCCCCCACCCCCACCCCATGCTCGCTCGCTCGCTCGCTCTCTCAAAAATAAATAAAAACATTACGAAAATTTTTTGTAAAAATACACTTTGTACGATTCCTTGAAAACTGATAACAGCCTTGCTATGGGCGTCAATTCTCAAAAAAAAGTCCCTTTCTTTTGGTCCACTGACCTGTTAAGGCATTTACTGTGAACAGTGACACCTTTTCTCACCCAGCAATACAACCAAGAAATCACCGACTTGAAGCAGCCTGTTTTGGTCAGTCAGCCCAAGAGGAGGCGAGGGCCTGGGGGCACCCTGCCCGGGCCCGCAATGCTCATCCCCGAGCTCTGCTATCTCACAGGTACCGCTGCACCCCAGGTCGATGTCCCATACTTCAGGGAGTCCTGAAACCCTCCCCAAGACGCCCCCTGCGAAGGGGCCCTTCCTCCTGCACCGTCTCCTTGCTCCTCAGCACCCTGCGCCCCAGTCGTTCACAGACTGGATTCTTGGCGCTAACCACTCCTTCCACTGTTCTGTTTAAAGGTCTAACTGATAAGATGCGTAATGACTTTAATGTGATGAAGGACCTAGCCGTTCACACGAGACTGACTCCGGAACAAAGGCAGCGTGAAGTGGGAAGGCTCATTGACTACATTCATAAGTAAGTTGTCTCCACACCTCTGGAGTGTGGTTTCAGTTCTGTGTTATTTTCTGTGGGTTTGGGGAGTGAAAGAAAGTTTTGTTTTCCTTTTGTATTTGTAGGATTGGGTGTGGGTTCTTCATGTTTCTAGGTGAGGCTGCTGCTTGTCAGGGAAAGTTAAATTCTGCAGCCTGTGGCCCAAGTCTTCTATTAGAAAAAGGGAATAGAGCAGAAAGTGCAGTGTTTTGGACAAATCTATTTTCTCTCTTTGTTAGAACATTGAATAGTTTACTTTGAAGAGAAGGCAGTTTGGGCATCAGACTTTCAGGGAAAGGGTCTCCTGGAGGGACACAGGGCTGTGACGAGGGAAGAGCAGACAGTGCATGTTTCTCGGCGTTGTCATGAAGTTGTCAGTCCTGAGAGAAACGGGAGCATGTAGTGTAGACTGGAGTGCACCTCTGTTTGTATATCTCTGTTTTTGCTCTGTTTCCTTATGTTGAGTCGTACGTAAATTTGTTAATTTACAGAGATGATAATGTTCAGAGGGAGCTTCGAGACTGGGGTTTGAGCTTTGACTCCAACTTACTGTCCTTCTCGGGAAGAATTTTGCAAGCAGAAAAGATTCACCAAGGTGGAAAAACAGTAAGGCAGTTCTTACCGTTGTCTATCACATTGGCTGGGGTCTGAGCCACAGTAATGCCTCGGGCCGGTCTGCTCTGCCCACTTCCCTCCTCCTCTCCCACCTCCCCCGGGCCAGCTCCTGGGGGCACAGGGTGGGCACAGGCAGCCTGCAGCTCGCTCCCCACAGGCGTTGGTGAGGCTTCCCTGGAGGCTGCCATAGCCTTTTTCTCCTGACAGAAATAGTCAGATTAAGGCATCGAGTTGATATTGTGTCTGCTGCTGAAGTGATTTTTTAATGCAGAAGACGTCCAGTTTATTTCACTTCATTTTTGCCTGGACCACTTGTAGGGAAACATGTTAAATGTTGCGACACCTTTTATATTTTAAGTGCAGAAAAGGGAAGCAAGCATTCTTAAATATTCTTGTGTGTAATTGAAGCCCTGCAAGGGCTAGAACTTTAAAAATTTTTTTCTAGGAAATGATGCCCTCCCGCCTTGTAGATGTTCTGCAAATAATAGTCTGATCAAGTAGCTTCATACTTGAATAGCAGTTGTTTTTATTAGCCCTATAGAAGTCATGAAAGCACCTGCCCCCATGGAAAGGTGGCTGGGGAGGTGGGGAGGACATGGAGAAGGCTCCGGGTGGTTTTTCTCTGGCAGAAAAGTAGCAGCAGGTCACCGTGCTGCCAGCTGAGCTTTCTGCCTTGCTGTCAGACACGGTCACTGCTCACTGTCAGTATCTGACACCTCAGCCGCTTGCTTACCTTTCAAAGGCTCGTTTGTTTTGTATCTTGTATTCCCCATGTCCTTGTGGTATTTCAGCAGACCAAGGTGAGTGCAGGAAGCATGGAGGAGAGGGCCTGCTGGGATAGGACCCCATCGTCCATGGATACGTCTGTGGCCATATCATCTGTCACTAGAGTCCAAAGTACAAGTAGTTCTCTAAGGTTCAGAAAATGCCACGGGAGTATCATTACAGACTTGTTGGCTTTGTCACCGAGAGCATACAGTGGAATTCACAGTGTCTCTGCATTTTCTTCTAGTTTGATTACAATCCACAGTTTGCAGATTGGTCAAAAGAGACAAGAGGCGCGCCGTTAATTAGTGTTAAGCCGCTGGATAACTGGCTGTTGATCTATACTCGGAGAAATTATGAAGCAGCCAATTCGTTGATACAGAATCTATTTAAAGTCACACCAGCCATGGGCATACAAATGAAAAAAGCAATAATGTAAGTTTATCAAGTCATTTCTGCTCTGAAAAACGGGATTAGTAGTCATTTGGAGGGTGTGGCGATGCAAAAGTGATCAAAGTGCCAGAAACGTGACCTAGCTGATGGGAGTGTACAGATCTGACACCAGTCTGGGGAGCGTGGATGCGGAGAGGCGTTTCAGTGATGAAGGGTGGGAGCGCAAGCAGGGCCTTTCCCCTGGCCGTCACTGCTGTTTGCGTTAGAGCTGCCTGTGCCTAAACGATTGCTCGTGGTGGTTTGTTTTGTGTCTCATACGGAAGTGCTACGTGTGTTATCATCTATAGGAAATTGTCTATGCTGGGTACATCCTTCATTGCTTTTTCTGAATGTTGGATACCATGTTTCCATCCTAGGATTGAAGTGGATGACAGAACAGAAGCCTACCTGAGGGTCTTACAGCAGAAGGTTACATCAGACACCCAGATAGTAAGTAGTGAGTTGATACATAGCCACTTGTCCTGGAATGACTTGTTTTCAAAATGGCATTTGTAAATCTTAGTGCTTGAGTTTGAAATGTTGTAGGTAAGTTCACGAGCTGACCACTCAATACAGATTTTACCTTCGTGAGGAGTGGCCTTGCCTGTGTGCCCAGGGCTCTTTCCTGAGTGCTGCAGTGGAGGAGGGGGAGGCCTGGGGGAACAGCCATCTGACATTTATTTGGATTCAAAGGCTTTAATTGTAGGCCAGACATTTGTGGGTCCAATTCTGTGTTCTCTGTTCCATTGGCCTATGTGTCTGTTTTTGTGCCAATACCCTACTGTCTTGATTACATCTATGTAGTAGAGGCGAAAGTCTGGGATTGTGATGCCTCCCATTTGGTTTTCTTCTTCAATATTACTTTGGCTGTTCAGAGTCTTTTGTGATTCCATACAAATTTTAGGGTTGTTTATTCCAGCTCTGAGAAGAATGCCGGTGCAATTTTGATTGGGATTGCACTGAATGTGTAGATTGCTTTGGGTAGTATTGACATTTTAACAATATTTATTATCCAGTTTATTAATATCCATTAATACCCAGTTTCTGAGCATGGAACATTTTTCCATTTTCTTGTGTCATCTTCAGTTTCCTTGATAAGCTTTCTATGGTTTTCAGTATACAGATCTTTTACACCTTTGGTTAGGTTTATTCTTAGGTGTGTTATGGCTCTTGGATCTTTGACAAAGCAGGAAAGAGCATCTGATGGAAGACAGACAGTCTCTTTAGCACACGGTGTGGGGAGAACTGGACAGCAGTGTGCAGAAGAATGAAGCTGGACCACTTTCTCACACCACACACAAAAATAAACTCAAAATGCATGAAAGACCTAAATGTGAGACAGGAGACCATCAAAACCCTAGAGGAAAAAGCAGGCAACAACGTCTCTGACCTCAGCTGTCTCAATTTCTTGCTCGACACATCTCCAAAGGCAAGAGAATTTAAAGCAAAAATGAGCTACTAGGACCTCATCAAGATAAAACGCTTCTGCACTGCAAAGTAAACAGTCAACCAAACTAAAGGGTAATCAATGGAATGGGAAAAGATATTTGCAAATGACGTGTCAGATAAAGGGTTAGTATCAAAAATCTGACCAAACTCACCATCCCAAAAACAAATAATCCAGTGGAGAAATGGGCAGAAGACATGGACACCTCTCCAAGAGGACATCCAGGTGGCCGACAGACACATGAAAGGATGCTCAGCGTCCCTCATCATCAGGGAAATAACAAACCAAAACCACACTGAGATACCACCTCAGGCTGGTCAGAGTAGCTAAAATGAACAACTCAGGAAACTACAGATGCTGGCGAGGATGTGGGGAAATGGGCACCCTCTTGCACTGTTGGTGGGAATGTAAACTGGTGCAGCTCCTCTAGAAAACAGTGTGGAGGTTCCTCAAAAAATTAACAATAAAATTCTGCAGTGACCCAGCAATAGCACTGCTAGGAATTTGCCCAAGGGACACAGGAGTGCTGATGCAGAGGGGCACATGCACCCCAGTGTTCACAGCAGCACTCTCCACAACAGCCAAATCATGGAAAGAGCCTAAGTGTCTATCAACTGATGAAAGGATAAAGAAATCTATAACAGAACACTACTTAACAATGAGGAAGGATGAAGGCCTGCCATTTGCAGCAACGTGGATGGAACTGGGGGGTGTTATGCTGAGTGAAGTAAGTCAGAGAAAGGCAGATGTATGTTTTCACTTATATGTGGAACTTGAGAAACTTAAGTCCATGGGGGAAGGGAAGGGGGAAAAGTTACCAACAGAGAGGGAGGGAGGCAAACCATAAAGAGACTCTTAAATATGGAGAAGAGACTGAGGGTGGATGGGGAGTGGGGGTGGGGGAAGAGGGGAAAGTGGGTGATGGGCACGGAGGAGGGCACCTGTTGAGATGAGCACTGGGTGTTGTACGTAAGCAATGAATCATGGGAATCTACCCCCGAAGCCAAGAGCACACTGTATACAGTGTATGTTAGCCAATTTGACAATAAATTATGTTAAAAAAAAAAAAAGACTTTAATTGTAGAAAATTTTGTGGGGGAAAAGGCACAAAAGTAAAAATCAGTACCTAGGTGTTGAGCACACGTACAGGTATAACTGAGGCGGCAGAGAACAGTGTGATGGTAAACAGCATATATATGTTGTCTAAAGTCTAAGAAGTGAATGGGCTTCAACTAATCTGTTCCTTTTCTAGCCCTTTGTCTCCCACGTAAGCGCCACAGGCAGACTACTGTTACGTTGTCTGGAATGACAGAGACACGCAGATGGCAAAGTGATTTGGTTGGGGCTAGAGAAGAGAGAAGTCTCAGGGACTGTAAATTAGGAAAACACAGCAGTGAGTTAAGATCTGTGTTCAGCTCTAGAACACAAATTTGGATTGGGCAGGAATTGGTGGTTTTATTTTCAATGATCCTGAGATACAGTGGACACCTAACTCTGTACGTTTAAAGTGTAGGGTACACAGTGCGATCATTTGATACATGTACATGTTGCAGAGACGATGATCACAACAGGGTTAAGGTGTACATGTCCAGTGTGATCATTTGATGATCACAACAGGGTGATTTCACTCTTCCATCACCTTACTTAGTTACAATTTTTTTTTTTTTTAAGATCCAGTCTTCAGCACCTTTCAGGTACATAACACAGCGTTGTTAACTGTGGTCACCTGTGCTGTACATTAGATTCCCGGAACTTGGAAGCTTGCATCCTTTGACTAACATCTTCCCATATCTGGCCAGGATATATTTAGATTAGGTGCTGTTTTGTCCCCAGGATTGTACGTGGACTCCCTGAGGAATTCATAGTGTGATCAGGTTCTCAAGCCAGAGCTTTAAAAGTTTAAAAGCCATGATCCTAGGTGGACTGGGAGTAAATGAACACTGAGCATTTTAGGAAATCTTCTGTTTGTGCACCTGTAGGTTATCACTCACTTATTTTGCCTTATTCTTTATCCCTAAAGTACTCCGAGCTGGTAACAGAGCATATTTAACTAAGTTCTCAGGTTTTCTTGGCATTCAGTTTTGAGCTGTTCGCCACACGTGGTTCCTTTCCTCTGTTAGCGTCTGTCACTGGGTTGAAGGGAACTAGCAAGATTCAGCTGATGTCATACCGGTTAGCTCCGTGGTGGAGTTCTGGACCCCTCAGATGGGCTTGGTTCCGTGTCCTCTCCCCTGAACTTAATCATTGCTTTCCTAATCCTTTGTAATGAGAACACTTTTTGGTTTTCAGGTTGTTTGTCTATTGTCGAGTAATCGGAAAGACAAATACGATGCTATAAAAAAATACTTGTGTACAGATTGCCCTACTCCAAGTCAGTGTGTGGTGGCCCGGACCCTCAGCAAGCAGCAGACGGTCATGGCCATTGCTACCAAAATCGCCCTGCAGATGAATTGCAAGATGGGAGGGGAGCTTTGGAGGGTCGATATGCCCGTAAGTTTGATTTAATTGGTGCCTAAAAGTGTTAGTTGTTTAACTAAAATGGACTTAACTTTTTAAACACTGCTGGTATTCTGTTCATCTAAAACTACGGGATTTTTGTTACAGCTGAAGCTGGCGATGATAGTTGGCATTGACTGTTACCATGACACCACAGCTGGACGGAGGTCAATTGCAGGATTTGTTGCGAGCATCAATGAAGGGATGACCCGGTAAGTGTGGTCTGGTGGTCGGAGGTTAGCTGTTGACATCACAGGGCTGGCCGGGGAGGGCGGGGGGGGGCAGGGGTTAGTGCAGGGCTGACTTCTGGGGTCTGCTAGGTTCTCTTTAACCTATTGACTTCTCTGAATTGGATAAGCAAGAAAGGGAAGTAAAATAACACCTACAGGCCATTTTTTACTTTGTTCCCTGGCCCTTAATGTATACTAGTCAGATTGCATTTCAGGCTGTTTTATATGTGGTTTCTGTTTGAGGGGAGGGTGGATCTCCTTAGAGGTGACCATCTTTGCAAAGGTCTTTCATAATTTTTATTGACCACTGAAATGTACCTTAATGTTTTTGCCTTGACTTTATTTTGGAAAGCCCACTTCTTCAGTTTACCCAATCACTTGTGTTTTTAGTCCTTTTCTTAGAACTAAGAGAATCGCCAAGAATAGGAAAGGATGAAAATTAAAGGAATATTGATGTGTGAGCATTACTAACAGGCATATTTCAACGTATTTCATCTTTTAAAAGAGTGAAATCTATGATAGATGTCTCTAAGAAGCAGAGCGGGAAGCGCGCTTCTGTGTGTGTGTGAGGGTGTGGGCCTAGGAGGCGTCTCTGGGTATCATAGCTCACACCTCCTCTTCGCCTCAGCCACGGAATTATGGTATTGATTGGTGATAAAAGAAATCTTAGTTTGTAATGTTATAAGTAGCTTGGTATTTGTGTTGAGGATTTCATAAAGCATTGGAGCTGTTAACAGGTATCTTTAAAGGGGCTAAAGAGCTGCTGGGAAGGAGATCGTTCTCACCCTGTCGTTTTTCTCTGAACAGCTGGTTCTCGCGCTGTGTGTTTCAAGATCGAGGACAGGAGCTGGTAGATGGGCTCAAAGTCTGCCTCCAAGGTTGGTCTCCTGTAGCGTTTTCGTCCTGCTTCCTGAAGCGGCTCTTCCAGAAATGACCCCAAAGCCCTGTTGCCCGTTGCTGGCTTTCCCGCAGCCGCCCTGAGGGCCTGGAATAGCTGTAACGAGTACATGCCCAGCCGGATCGTCGTGTACCGGGACGGCGTCGGGGACGGCCAGCTCAAAACCCTGGTCAACTATGAGGTGCCGCAGTTTCTGGACTGCCTCAAATCTGTGGGCAGAGGTTACAAGTAAGCATGCTCGCTGGGAAGTGTTTTCTCTTCCTAAAATTACACCTTTTTATCTTTGAGGTCCGTGTTGGAAGATGAGAAGGTAAGGGGTGCAGTGGGGCGTGAGATCGCGGCCAGGGGTGGGGGGTTCCTTGTGGAGCTTCTCCCGGTGTGGGGGGAGGGGCTGGACATGTCGAGTGGTGTGGAGGGTCCCTGCCTTCAGGGAAGGATGCGTGAAGTCACCTCTGCCAGTTGTCTGCCTGCAGCCTTGACGCGGAATCTGAGTATCCCGAGGTGTCTGGGGCACCCACAGGGTTGCTCCTTAGAAGAAATTCCAGATAGCCTTAATTCACCCTCCTTGAGTTCTCTGTAAAGTGAATACGTGTTTAATTTCTTTGTGAACTCGACTGGCACTGATGTCTTTACTTGTCCTTGGGAATGGCATGCACGTGCGAGGGACATACTCATCCTCCCTGAGCTTCACACTTGTGCTCTTGAAGCCCGTGCTGCTCTTTGCCTTCCTCTGCTTGCCCCCCGCCTCCCCAGGAGTGAGGCTGCTCCGTCTCCACACAGCCCTTCTGAGAAGTTACGTTTTGCTGGTCTGTCCATGCTTGTGAGCAAGCTCACGTCAGGGACTGTGGTATGAAGGGCTTCCTGGTGCAGAATGATGGTTTGTGAACTCACTGCTTCAGGCTCCTCCGAAATCCCGAGAGGCCTGTCTCTGTGTTCGGCCAGCACTTGGGCTCGTTACAAAAAGGTCGGGGCCTGCTGCAGTGCGGGGAGCCTGGGGAGGGGCCACTTCCAGGTCGGCCCTGGCCAGCTTCTGAGTGTCGATTGCACACGTTTCCTAAAACGAGTTTATGACATGAAGCTCTCAGAGCATGTCAGGGAGGTTTTTCAGATTAAAATGCTAATAAGCATTTTCCAAGATTTTGGAAATGGAAGTTAATGTTCTTTTTTGTCTCCTTTAAAGATCTTAATGCTTGTATTTTCTCACTAAAATAATGGTATTAATTTTCTTTTGCTCTTTGAAACTTCTTAAGCCTTATTGGAGGTATTTCTCTTGAGTTCGATGCTCTGTCCACATGGACGGGGTTTGGGATGCACAGGAGGGTGTGAAGCGGCGGCTGCCTGCTTGGTCTCCTCTTCAGTTCTCGGCTTGAGCCCTCAGCATTTTCTAGCTTCGCTTGCCTTTAAACATTCAAGAAGTAAAGGGAAGATGTCATAGCATAAGCGGATCTTACAGCCTCAAGCTGAATGTGTGAGGACTCGGGGACACACCCTGTGGCCGTGTGGGGCCTGGGGCTCCGCTGCCAGGAGTTTTCAGTCCCAGGGCTTGGTTCCCAGCAGCGGCGGCAGCTCTCAAAGAGGGGCCTGAAGCCGTGAGGGGAGGCCATAACCAGGCTCCTGCCCTCGTCCCACCCAGGTAATGGGGTGAACAGCTGCAGGGAAGGGGAGTTTAAACGGAGGCTGCACGAAGGCCTAAGTAGCTGCTGCGGCAGCAGACCCACGTCGTGAGTTGTGCCGGGACGTGGTGGCCGCGGAGCTGGGTAACCGAGCGCAGGGTCTCAGGGGCAGAGGCGGTTCTGCCCACCTGCACCTGCATCTGGGAAACGGCGAAGAAGCCAGCTGGGGTTGGCAGAAGGAATAAAGGAGGGTAATTACCTGACGCCGAGCCCAGGAAGCACTCGATAAATGGTAGAGAGCTCGTGTGTAGAGTAAAATACCCAAGAATTATTCCTAACTTCAAAGAAATGCCAATTGGATGTAAAGTATTCATAATTATGTTTAGAATTGCAGTATTTTTTTGTTTTTTTATTTTTTAACGCTTATTTTTGAGAGAAAGAGCACGAGTGGGGGAGGGGCAGAGGAGAGAGAGACACAGGATCTGAAGCAGCTCCAGGCTCTGAGCTGTCAGCACAGAGCCCGACACGGGGCTCAAACTCACCAACTATGAGATCATGACCTGAACCGGAGTCGGACGCTCAACCGACTGAGCCACCCAGGTGCTCAATGGTATTTGTTTTTTAATTGAAATGTTGATGTTAACTTTATAAAAATGCATAATGGATTAGCTTATTTAGAATATTTGATACAAGAACAAATCAAAATGCCACCTCATACTTATGACTTCTGGTCATGTCAGAGGACTGAAACGCACTTGTCTTAGATTCCTGGGAAGGGCTTTGTTCTATCCAGAGCCACAGTAAGCGGAGCAGCAAACCCCCCACAGATAGATAGTGGTCTCTAAAGTGAAATCACCTCCGTGTCCCTTCTCTGTTCAGTTACTACTACCACGAAGGAGCAGAATTAGGTTTATCAGTGAACAGAAGTTCCCATTTCACGGTCTCTTGGACCATTTGACCGGGCAGTGTACCGCGAACTACCTTCCCAAGCCACGTGTTCCCGATCCCACAGCACGTAAACCCCTCTCCGTCCCAAAGTTTGGAATCCAGTGTATTGATGCCTTCGGGAAGCAATGTCCTGGTTGGGAAAAGGGCACAGGGAGAACTGAGGCGCCAGTAACTGTCCTGTTTATCAGGTGTTCTACGTGTGTCTGCGCAGCTCCCAGCGCCTTCCGTGTGTGTGCTGGTTCACGTGTGCCAGGTTTCAGACTCTGGATTTGACACAGACCTGGGGGCTGGGGGGTAGAAAAGGTGTGAAAGGTACTCAGGCTGCACGTACTGCACTTGAAGGGCTGCCCTGTGGGGAGCCAGAGCCAGGTTAGGGGCCAGCAGGCCCCTCAGATGCAGAGCTTGGGGCAAGGGGGGCTCAGTCCTGCCGCAGGAAAACCAACCGGAGAGTCGCATGGGGAAGACGCGGAGGGTGCGTTCTCTGCCGTCATGTGCTGGGCTGAGGGCTGACTGGCCCAGGGAGGGAGACAGAGACAGGGACCCCTGATTCCTCGTGAGCCGCTAATGCCAGGCTAGACCTGGACATTGCTCACATCAGCTCCGCTAGCGGGGATTTTAGACTTGAGGTCCTGTTTTCCTCCTAGAGGACACACACAGAAGAGGGCTCCAAACCGTGTGCCCAGTTTGTTCAGTGTGACAGGCAGATGACATGCTGAGCGGTTGATGTGACACAGGGCACGTGCACGCCGTCCCTGCCCAACCCGGGTGGGCGCTCTGCCCTGGGGTGGGGGGTCCGTTTAAATGGAGCACACGGTGAGTGGTCCATTCATTGCCTGAGAGAGTGGCCACCTGAGTATCATTACATTCATCTTCATCATCATGTTTAAGCCCAAGACTAACAGTAATCGTGGTGAAGAAACGAGTGAATGCCCGGTTTTTTGCTCAGTCTGGAGGAAGACTTCAAAACCCACTTCCTGGAACAGTTATTGACGTAGAAGTTACCAGACCAGAATGGTAAGTTGTGTGCCATTAGGTGAGCGTTGTTTTCTGCTTTATCCACTTTAACTCATTTACTTTTTCTTAGGTTTCTTTCTTTTTTTTAATTTGAGAGAACCTCGTGGGGAGGGGCAGAGAGAAACAGAATCCCAAGCAGGCTCTGCACGGTCAACACAGATCCCAACACAGGGCTGGAACTCACAGACTGCGAGATTATGACCTGAGCCTAAATCAAGAGTCAGATTCTTAACCAGCTGAGACCAGACGCCCTTTATTATTCATAAGAAATCTGAGAAAAAGTAAAGTTTTCAATTAGTTTGATCCAGTAATATTACTAAAGCCCACGATTTGTGGCTTCTATGCAGTTTTTCTTTGGGGGAAGAGGGTTATTGTCTGTGGCACTAATTACAGAGGGAGGTCAGAACTGCTGCGTTGTGTGCTTTTTGTATTTTTTTTAACATGTGGCTTCATCCAGAGTTTTGTTTTCTTAGTAAAAAGTTTTAGATCTGTAATGATTTTAGTTACCTAGAGGCCAAAATGTTTCATCAGAAACACAGTCACAGGTAAGAAAAGTGGGTTTTGAATAAATATTTTTATGCAAACTGGAGCTATACTTTGCCGCAGTAAGAAAATAAGCTAATAAGTAGGACCTCGAGGGGCCCGTGGTACTGACATTAGTGCAGAGCACTGTGCTGTCCAGTGCTGAAGTCGCTGGCTCCCGGGAAAGCCCTGTGTGGGGCGGGGTAGAGGGAGCGCCTCACTCGGCCAGGTCAATGCCTCCCCAGGAGAGCACATGGCTAGACCCGTCCTGTGTTGGTGTATTGGAGCTTTTTCAAGAGGCAGGTTTGGGGCACCTGGGTGGCTCGGTTGGTTAAGGGTCCAACTCTTGATCTTGGCTCAGGTCATGATCTCGTGGTTGGTGAGTTTGAGCCCCACATTGGGCTCTGCACTGACGGTGCAGAGGCTGCTTGGGATTCTGTCTCTCCCTCTCCCCTCACTTGCTGTCTCTCAAAAATAAAATTTAAATTCGAAAGGCACATTTCACCAGGATCAAGTGCAGGCCTGGGTGCGGAGCTGCTAAGGTGGAGCACGGCCCCGGTGCGGATGCAGGCACAGGATTTCCTCTGTTGGCCGTAGGTGGACAAGCGATCATACGTGACAGGATGCGTCACCTTGGATTTCTGTCCTTTCTCAGGCAGGTGTTAGCTACGGCAGTGCCTCAGGATTCTGCTCCTGGGGGACATCTGCTGGGGGAGACACAACAGCTAAGATCCTAACTTAGGTTCCTTTCCTGCAGGATCCCTTAAGCGGTCAGAACGACCCCGTGGTACTTTCTAGTAACAGTGCTCCTGCTCTGGTAACCAGAGCTTGGGGCCCGCACGGACCTGCAGACAGCTCACGTAAATAAATTGGGCAAAATCCAAGTTGAATTAGGAAGTATGAAAACATTTCATTACTTTTTATTTGATGCTATTTAAAACTTAGCTGAGGATGCTATTTACATACCTGGAGAAGTCCCCTTTAAAAATTTTTTTGAATTTTATTTATTTTGAGAGAGGGAAGGAGGGAGAGAATCCCAAGCAGGCTCTGAGCTATCAGCACACAGCCGGACATGGGGCTTGACTCGCAAACTGTGAGATCATGACCCGAGCTGAAATCAAGCGTCGGACGCTCAGCTGACAGAGCAGCCTGTGGCCCTGGAGAAGGCCCGCTCCTAAGGGCGAGGCCAGAGTCGGCGCGGCTGCCGGCGCTGGAGCGGCCTGGGCCTGTGCTGGGACCGAGGTCTGCCCCCAGCTCCGGTGTGGGCTCTCTGCTCCGTGGGGCCAGGTGTCTGTCACGGAGCCCCTCCCCCTCCAGAGCCACTGCCGTGTTGCGGGTCAGTCCTGTCGTTTCCGGGGGGCCTGGCAAGTTGCACAGGCAGTTTCCTTCCAGCTTCTAAGTCCCAGCACACCGTCTCTGGGGTGATGTTTTGTTGCTACCAAAAAAAAAAAAAGGAAAAAAAAAAACCCGATGTTTTGTTCCTTTTTGTTTGCGCTCCTTGGTTTTTGCTTTACCATTTGGGTCCTGTACTGATTTTGTGTATGTGCTTGGATGTTCTAGTCTAGAATTTGTGCTGCATCCTTAATGATGAAAATTTATATTTTTGTTAAGTACCACTGGGAACAGCAAGCAGGGGAAAGGTCCTGCAGTAAAAGCGTATTTTGGGAACCAGAGAGCCTGAAAAGAGACCCCGGTGACCGCCCCCGCTGCCGCTGCCCTCCCAGCCCGCGCTACGGCTCCAGCCACCCCGGAGCTCTCAGGGCCAGCGCTGTGTAACCGGCACCCCTGCCGGGTCACGTCTGAGGCCTCTGTGACGGAGGTTTACAACATTAGTAGTAGTGGCGTCGTAAACGTCTTTCACACACAGGCTCTCCGTGATGGCTTGGGGACAGCAGTTTCTGGACGTCCAGGAAGCACGCTTTGTCTTGAAGAGATTAGGTTACGTTCGTGTGCGGCATCTTTTCACCGTGAACTTGGGCTCTCAGATAAGCCTCACACCCGTGTGGTTTCTCTCCTGTCCTTCCAGGTATGATTTTTTTATCGTGAGCCAGGCAGTGAGAAGCGGCAGCGTCTCCCCGACACACTACAACGTCATCTACGACAACAGCGGCCTGAAGCCAGACCACATACAGAGGCTGACGTACAAGCTGTGTCACGTCTATTACAACTGGCCAGTAAGTGTGCTCCTTCACTTCAGCGAGATTCACTTTTCAGAAAAGGAGTTGCTGTGTTTGTAAAGGCTTTTTACAGTTAATTCTGAGACGCGCCATGTAAAACACAGATTCAGAGTAACAGACCTTGTTTCTTCCACTAAAGGGTGTCATCCGTGTCCCGGCGCCTTGCCAGTACGCCCACAAACTGGCCTTCCTCGTGGGCCAGAGCATTCACAGAGAGCCCAACCTGTCCCTGTCCAATCGCCTGTACTACCTCTAACCTCCGCCAGAGGGCGACACGCGGCCGTTTCTTCAGTTTGAAATGGAACCTCAGGCTTTTTTTAAGCTTTTTATTTGTTTTAGCTGTTATCTTTCTAGATGAAAGTTGAGAAAGGAAGTGGGAGACCTGGAGTCTTCTTTCTAGCATTGCTACTTGACTGGCTTCTAGGTAAAAATTAAAATTTTACATTTTATCTTGTTTGCTTCTCAGATATGTTGTGAGGATTTTTTGTTTTGAGAAAAAATGTGGATAAGGTACTTTATATTATAAACAGACTTTAAGCAATTTGAAAAGCAGGGATTTACTCAAAAGTATTTTCAGGAGTGAGCAAGTCCGTTTTTGTAAACTTGAATTAATTATCTTTTTGAAATATTTTTAATTTAAAGGAGAGAAAGGTAAAGTGGGGCACTCACTAGAACTGTAAGGTGGGGTTTTATTTGGGGATCTGATCTATTTTAAAGATTAAAGCTGCCATTAAATAACCAGCACGAGGTCGGGGAACGGTGAGAGGCTCTGGAGAAGTAGGCTAATTTTTATTTAATTTAGGGGCTAGGTGGGACGGGGGTTAGAAGAAGATGGTTGAAAAGTTTTAAATTTCTGTCCAAAGAAACATTTTAAGACTCTTTAAGAGGCCAGTAATCTATATTAACATTACTATTTATTTTTTTTGCAACTGGGACATTAATCCACTTGTTACAGAATAAAATTGGATTGTCACCTTACCAGGAACAGGAGTTTGTTTTTACTGAAAGCATATGTGTTTTTGTTCCATTTACTGTATTTTTTTTAAATGCGGGAGAGCGCACGGTCAGAAGGCTGCTGCTCCTTCCACAGAAGCTGCATTTGTGTCCCTTTTGCACTTGAGGGTCTGTGGCTGCCACCTGCGCATTCGTGGTTCAGGAGTGGGATCCAGAGCGTAGACGTGCAGGCGAAGGAGGGTGGTGTGGTCACATTGACAGTCATAACTCTTCACGTTTACACATTTGTGGGAATTTTCAGGAGATGCCGCAGGTAACAAGTAGAATTGTATTTCGAGAACACCTCTCACTGTTGCTTGTAAACGTACAGGTGTGAACATTAGCGATCATGTAAACCCCTCGTCTGAGCGTGTTATTACACTTGGCCTTCTCAAATAAATGCCTTTTGGATTTAGCCTTATTAACGTGAATGAAAACCATTTTGTTTTCCTTTTAGCTCTTCAAGCTAATAACTGTTGTTAACACTGCTCTTGGCTATTAGCCCAGGTTCCTCAACCGACTGTCTGAACATTAGCAGGAAGGGAACGGGGCCTTGTGAGCTTTCAGACAGCACGACAGAGACCGGATCCCGTGACACGGCTCACATTCAAGGCTGTCCTGGCTCGAAGGAGCAGGAGGGAGTCCAGGCCTGCGGCTGTGAAAGATTGGTTTGGGGTGTTTTTCACGTATAGGTTTGTCGTGCTGGTCAGAAACTTCTGAGTCCTTCAGGTGTCACTCGTAGCAGCTTCCACGCGCTCCTGCAGACGTGTCCGCGTCATCTAGGAGAGTTGCCGCCGGCAGGGGAGCCTCACTGAAGTCTGAAGACTTTGTTGCAAAGGACAGAAAATCTGCTCAAATGAGTTTCGGCCAGAAAGGTTATAGACGCGCTTGCTCACCTGTCCTGGGCAGCGGTCCCCGGACTGGGTGCTAAATGTCACCTGCTTGCTTGGTCACCACAGGGAGCCCTGGGCCCACGGCAGACCCGGGATCAGAACTTCTGCCCGGCAGGCGGTCCGACAGACGCACCCTGCGTGCGACTGGGCAAGTGCCAGGCGAGGAGGCTCTGGAGTCTGGGTGACATTGACGGGGGTGGGGGAGTCTCTTCTGCTTCGCTGCTGACCGCGGGCCTCCTGGGGGGACGGCAGCGGGCACAGAGCTTGGCATCAGGGCCACCTCGCTCCCTTGGAAGCAGCACCCTTTCCCGGGGAGTTCCAGCAGAACCCTGGCTGTCTTCACCTCCTGGAACCTAAGGGGTGCGCATCCGGATGGGTGGGGCCTGGCTCCTGCCGTGGGGTCCGCCCGCCCCGCTCCCCTCACGCCCCGGTTCTTCCCACAGCCCGCGCCTCTCGTCACACCCGTGCCCCCAGCCGCCACGCGCCTTCCTCCCGGGCGGCCTCCGGGGACCCCGTGCGCCGTGCCGCCCAGCCGCGCGCCTTCACGGGTGCTGTCCGTGCCCGCCCCGCATCTTCCCTCCCGCACCCTGTCGCCGCTCGGGGGCGGAGGAGGGGCAGTAAGGCGTCCACACCGAGGAGACACCGGCACCGAAAAGCGAAGCCAGCCACTTACTCCGAGGGCGGTGCGGGGTCCTCGGCGGCTTCCCCACCCTCCCTGACCCTCGGTTTCCGTAGCGAGGGCCCGGGGGTGGGGGGGCGTCACGGCGCCGCACCGCACTCTGCCACCCTCCCTCCCCGAGGGCCCCCGCGGCCACACGAGCCTGCCCGGCCAGGCGGGCTGCAGTCCCTGCCGCGCACCCAGCAGTCGGGGTCCTCGGGAGCTTCGGTGGCACGTGGGGACTCGCCCCTGCCGCGGGCAGTCGGAGGCTGTGCAGACAGCACGGTGCGGGCTCCTCCGGCGGCAGCGCGGGGCCCAGCGCTTCCCGGGTCCCCACCACTGGGGGCAACAACTGCCACCCTTCTTGCTGCGGCGGGCGGGGCCCCCGACACCCCCAGGCTCAGGGAGCGTGAGCTGGGAAGCCCCGCACAGGCTCGGCCTCCCCGCACGGTCCTCGGCGCGGGGCCGGGTCACAGCGGGAGGCGGTGCCGCCGCCGCCGGGCTTTCCGGGGCGGGCGGAGAGCGTGCGAGCGGCCGGGCCCGGAGCGAGCCGCGTGCGAGGAAAGCAGGGTGGCTTGCGGGCGAATGGCAGACACCCAGGGGTGCCACTGCGGCCGTTTTCTCCCCCAGCCCGGAGCCACATGCACCCTCCGCTCCAGCAAAGGTGAAACCGCCCGGTTCTGACAAACGTGGCCTGTTCACGCGAGCGCAGCGAGAACAGGGACGGGCGGCTGAGGCGCTTCAGCTCTGGGCGCCTCGGGGCTCCGTCGGTTGAGCGTCCGACTTCAGCTCCGGTCATGACCTTGTGGTTCACGAGTTCGAGCCCCGCGTCGGACTATGAGCCGACAGTTGGAGCCTGCTTGATTCTGGCTCCCTGTCCCTCTGCGTCTCCCCTGCTCGTGCTGCCTCTGTCTCTCGGAAACATTTTTAAAAATTCTTAAATCGGGGCGCCTGGGTGGCTTAGTCGGTTGAGCGTCCGACCTTCGCTTGGGTCATGATCTCGCCCTAGTGGGTTCGAGCCCCGCGTCGGGCTCTGTGCTGACTGCCAGCTCAGAGCCTGGAGCCTGTTTCAGTCTGTGACTCCCTCTCTCTCTGACCCTCCCCTGCTCACGCTGTCTCTCTCTCTCTCTCAGAAATAAAACATTCAAAAAATTTAAAAAAAGAAACGGTGCGGGAAAAGCCCGCGGGTCTGTAGGTAGAGACTAATTTGACCTTGATAATCCGTCCCCCGAAACCATCAATAAACCTTATTCCTCCGCCACATCTCAAGGGGCTTCTGCAGCTCGGGGTCACTCGGCCGACGCCTGTCCCGTTGGCTCAGCGGGTGCGGCGGGGCCTCGGGGCGCCCCCGCCGCAGCCCCACAGGGTCCGTCCCCGCCCCCCGCACCCCCCCCCCGGCGGCACCCCCGGCTGGTGTCGAGCCCGCCTTCCGGGGAGTGAACGGCCCCCCCTGAGGGAGCGGCGCCCACGCGAGGGGCCAGACGGTCGGGGTCCGGCCTCCCGCGGAGCCGGAGCTGCGGTGTCGCCGGTGTCGCTGCGAGACGCCGGGCTGTGTCGCCCCGTCTTCCCGCCATCCGTCCCTTCCGCGGGCGTCTGCGCGGAGCCGGAGCCCCGGGGCGGCCCCCGAGGCCGAGGGAGACAGTCCCGGTCTCAGCCCGCGCGGGAGGGCGCGCTTCCGACCAGCCGCGTCGGCCGCGGGGCGGGGGGGGGGGGCGTCCGCGCCTGCAGGCCGACCGAGCGTGACCCCCCCGCCCCCCGTAACACCCCGCCTTGTCCCCCGCGCCCCGCAGCCCCGACACCCAATCTGCCACCTGCCCCCGCCCCCTTGGCTCCACCAACGCCACTGACAGGGGCTCCCCTTCCCCCTCCCCTCCCCCACCCCTTCTCCCACTTCCCCTCCCCTCCGCGGGCGTCTGCGCGGAGCCGGAGCCCCGGGGCGGCCCCCGAGGCCGAGGGAGACAGTCCCGGTCTCAGCCCGCGCGGGAGGGCGCGCTTCCGACCAGCCGCGTCGGCCGGGGGGGGGGGGGGGGGGGCGTCCGCGCCTGCAGGCCGACCGAGCGTGACCCCCCCGCCCCCCGTAACACCCCGCCTTGTCCCCCGCGCCCCGCAGCCCCGACACCCAATCTGCCACCTGCCCCCGCCCCCTTGGCTCCACCAACGCCACTGACAGGGGCTCCCCTTCCCCCTCCCCTCCCCCACCCCTCCTCCCCCTCCCCCTCCCTGGGCAGCCCCTTTGTCCCTGGCACTTGCCTGATTTCCGCCTCCTGCCGACCTTGCCTCTTTACGAGGTGGAGGGTCCGCGTGCCCTCCAGACCGAGAAGACCCTCTACTCCCGAAACACGAGCCAGCGAGCCCGCTGCTCAGCGTCATTCAGGGCCACTTACGGGGGGCAGACGACCCGGAACCCTCCCAGCCGCCGCCGCGCAGAGCAGCCCGCAGCCCCAGCTTTCCGAGCAGGCGCCCCTTGCGCTGGAGGGGAGGCCAAGATAGAGGCAAAGGATGGAGTCCGTGCTCGCCGACACCCCCTTAGGATGAAATTCCCCTACTGCCCTCAACACCTCTCGTCCCATTCTCTCTGCGCCCGATGGTCTCCCCGAGATCCGTCGTCTCCGTGTTGTCAATCGGTCGGTCCCCAGCCCTCACACCCAACACCCACACCCCGTGTCTCAGGAGCACCCCAGCCTGGCTGCTGGGGTGCGGCCCCCCCCGCTGTCCGCTCCGCCCCCCGCCCCCCGCCCCCCGGCTCACTCCTGTGAAAGCGCCTCCCAGACCCACGCACTTCCCTCCCGTCTTGCTGGGAGCGCAGGCTCCGGGGGGTCTTGGGGGGGGGTCTCCCCGCTGCGGTTCCCAGACGTTTAAGGAGCCGGAAGTCACTCCTGTGCTCGTGCTTCCGGCGCGCGCTCACGTGCG